TATATAAAGTTGAAAAGTCGTAAGTTTTTAAGTTGTTGGTTTTGGTAAAATTTTGTGATTTCAAATTTTCCAAAGTTCATAGGAATTTTTAAGTATCCACATCTGATTTACACCGCTTGTCAAATATATTGTTGCACAGTACTCCTGAAGTTTCTCCTTCACAACTGTTAATATTTTAGTGAGGAGTATAGAAAGAGGCTTGGTAGAACATTTACTGGAACCCGCTATGCATCTATGTTTGTATGGATTTTTATGAAGTTGCGGAATCCAATATAGATATGGTAATTCAAATTCATGTTGGAGTTGGGAATATCAAAAATAGTAAAAACTCCTTAAAAAGGGAGCTATGGGTATAAGATGGATTACCACTTGTTGAATTAAATCCCAGTTTCTCTAAAATACAATTTAAATAATGAGCCTTTCAAACAAAGACAATGTTTTACCTGCTTTGTCAGCAGGAACCAGTACATACTGATCGTGTAATCTATTTCTTTTTTCACTTCTGAATTAAACTATACATGTTACAGAGTATTACAATCACAACTAGACGCATGGATGTTTTATTCTAGGCTCATAAGGGTTATTTACATTGATTTTTTAAAAGAAGCGAGGGACTATCTTACAACCATAATTTGGGAGCACTTCACATTTCTTTGGCAATAGAAAACGAAAAAAAATATTGATAATATAAATTTCTACTTCTTACACTTTATTATTTACAAGGCTTCGTTTTGAATCCTTTTTAGTCACATTAGATTTAAAATAAATGAAATTATGACTTAAAATATTAACTAGCTTATTTAAAATAGAAAAGCATAATTAAAAAGATCTCAGTAGGGTCCATATTTATCAACTGATAAAGTAAAGCATTGTTTTAATCGTACAACTTTATGTCGGTCTTTTATTTAAATGACACATCAATTACCAAATATGTATACTAAAATAAAATACTCTCTTGATCCTGTTAGCAAAAACAATTTAGCCCCCTCCACCCCCCCCCCCCGAAAAAAATTATTACGATTATTAAAATATAGAACTAGCTAGGGTGTCATCAATTAAAAAAGTGAAGTTTCTCAGAAATCTATAAAAGATCTATAAATTAATCTGGAGGTGCGGAAGGGAAGGTGGTTGATTTTCCGGGATATCAAATCGGAAGAATAATATACATTGCATTTATTTATCTATTTTAGAGAAAACTAGTTATTGTACATAAATTCTGGATTAGTTGACAATATTTGTACATTGCTATCTAGAATATTCATATAATTATAATCAGACTCGGGATTCCGCTTGCTTTTAAAAATGCCAATACACACAGTAATAAAATCTCCATTGATAAGTCCTCAAAATCCTATATGAAAATGAAGGTGTTGCTTCAATCTCCCAAGCAGAGTTGTCGTTCTTTTTTCTCTCACAGCCAATGTTGTTTATGTTTTTGACGTTTTAAAGATTTCCACCACTAGGTGATGATTACTTTTTTTCAAAATCAAGGGTCTCTGAGCTTCTGTCCAAAAATTAAAACAACCAGGAAATTCTTTGGCTTCTACTGAATGTTACTTGAATATTGCTTGTTCAAAGGCAGAGATTTTAAGCACTGCCTTCAAAAATACCTGGTCTGTGTACTGTACCCCTGTTAATTAAGTGCATTAAAGTACATCATTCGGTGCTAGAACTTGATTGACATTTACTTACTAGTCTCTGTGTATACCGTGTTGACACTGGTGACCTTCAAATTAACTTTTGATCCTTTGATATTTACCACACAGGGTATAACAATAGAAAAGCTGGATTACTATGGAATTTTTAGCTTTGTGAATTATATACATACACAAACCTTTCGTATTTGAAATAATTATAATATTCTTTATGATAATATATATCAAAAACTGGTATAACTTTTTTTCAAAGCTCAACAAATACTAATAATAATTTTTAGTGGTTGGGGATGCTTTGATACACATTCAATTACAAATTAATAAAAAAAAATGAGATTAAACTTTATTTACAACTTTTTATTTCTAGTTTAAAATCATCTAAAAATCCCATCACAGGTAAAGTTTGAATTCTTGGGTACCCCTGTGTATTAAATCACTTTCTGTGTATAGGGATTAGGAGACAAACAATCACAGGTAGACCGCTAGCCCTCAAGGCATTCACAATTGTACAAAGTAAGCCCCTCCCTCACCTGGAATTTACCACCCGGTAAAAAATATCTGCCTTTAAGTAAGTAACGTTTCTGATGACTGCATTTAAGAATAGCGAAATTTGTGACAAAAACTTTCAAAACGGGCATTTTTCTTTTAATTGCAGATCTGGCCAATACAATATATGCGATCAAGGTGTTTAGAACTATTAAATTTTTCACAGTAGGAGATGATAGGATGTATCCAGTAGTTGTGCAATAAGGTTTCTGAATTTTAATTTTCATCATATATCTCGAAAAACCATGTTATTTTTCTACAAAAACCTGGTTCCTATAAATCTTTTTACATTTTTCACAGAAGCCAAATTATCTTTTGAAAGATGATAGACGGTGTCTTGTTGATGTGCGATAAGGTTTCAGAATTCTGATTTTCGTCCGAAAACGCCTCATATTTTTCACAGTAGCTATTTCACCTTTTGGAAGTTGATAGGTGGTGTTCCGTAGAAGTGCAATTAGATTTAATAATTTTCATTTTATCCTAGGGCCCAAATGGAGGTCGAAAAAAATGATGTATTTTTCTTCAAAAAGCTGTTTCTTAGAACTCCTGTTACATTTATACAGTAGCCATATCATCTTTTGGGAGACGATTGGTGCTGTCCTGTAGATGTGTGATAAGGTTTCGTAATCCTCTTTTCTTCCATTGGACAAATGCGGAAGAAAAAAAATAGTTTCCAGAACTCCTCTTTTATTTTTTCACAGCAGCCAATTCATCATTTGGAAGATAAATGAGGGTACGGAGAGTGACCCAAAGACAGAAAGTCTAAATACCATGCGCACTTGATATTTATAACTTCATCACTGTTCCCGTCGTATATTTGATTTGACTTTAATTCCTTTACTAAAACCTGTTACAAAAACATCTAAGTACAGAGAAAAAATGGCGTCGTGTCCATGCACTTTACCTCAAAAAACTAAGGTCAAATCTAGATGTTTCATTTTATTTATCTCTAATATCGCTAGATAATGAGTAAAATTATATTTTATAAATTGAATTATAACTTTGAGATAGAAATTTTTCAAAGAACTTCTAACAGAAAACAATTTAACAGACATTAATTGAAATTCATTTGCTTATTCAAAATCCCAAACAATTCTAGCTGTTTCTTCTAACGAAAATTGCTACCTGCCGCCAGTGATAGCAATACAACACAGAAAAGTTCATAAGGAGATTAAAATTCTCGGAAACTGACACCTGATGAATTAATTTATTTTAAACAAAGTTAACGCGGACATTGAGAAACCAGAAGGACTTTCAATTGCAGTGAAAATATATTTTAAAAGGGTTTTTATCATTTTCTTTTCAGTGAATAGAAAAGTTGTGACGTTCTCAGCAACTGCGCGGGGCGGTAAGGTTGAACAAACAATCACAGGACCAGGAAAGACGATTGTTTTAAAGAGGGTGCTTAATAACGTAGGAGACGGATATGATTCTGAAAAAGGAATATTCACCGCACCTTTGGCTGGAAATTAGGCAGTTTTCTTCTCTGTAGAAGTGCCACCAAATAAAAAAAACTAAGTATTTATTTATATGTCAATGGATAAAACGTTGCTGAAGCACATGCGAGAAGAATAGATGGCGTCTTCATCACTGGAAGCAATATGGCACCCTTTTAATTGCAGAAAGTCAAATCAAATCCGAGTAATTACTAAAGAGTTATTATTCAATATACCGGAAACAGCTTTTCTGGATTTATAATTTCTTTTGAGTAGAATCATCCCTACTGTGAAAGGCTTGGATCCTTTGCATCAAGCCATTTGAATATGTCTTGTCAGTGACCAGTAATTGTTAATCAATTAAAAGCGTAACTCTTATAAAAACAAAGAGAGAAAATTTTTATTATGAGATTTTTTGCAAACAATTAATACAATTTAAATTGATTGTTATTAATATCAGAAAGAAACACCTATAAAATACCCTCATAACCGTCCCCAATTTACATGTATTAACAAATATGCAACAGTTGTTTGATTATTCTTTATTTATTGATATTTGCATTATACGAGATCTTACGGAATTGTAGGTTGAAACTTTACAATTTAGGTCTGACATCTTTGTAAAGTATACCAATGCATGTTTGCCGAACCAAAAATCCTTTGAACAATTAACGAAAACCGGTTAAGCCTTTCCCTGAGTTTTACTCACGAGAACACTGAATACTGATACGTTAATAAATGAACTGAGCAGATCCAATTTTTTGGCCTTGAATTTAAGATTACTATTAAGTAGGTAATTTTTAAGGAATAACCGACTAAAAACATTTTAGTCGATAATCGGTATGATCAAACGATAGTCGAGTACTCGAATATTCGCTGACATCCCTACTAAAAATATATAATTAAAAAGATTTATCTGTATTTAACACCATAGACCATGATTTATGTATCAAATTACATGGTGATGTGTAGTTGAAAATCAGAAGTAGAAAAGTAAATTTCACTGCGTAAGTTTCACGGCAGATTTTTCCTATTCTTCAAAAATATTTTTATCTAGATATTTTCTTTGTTTTTGTGAATAACCTGCCTTTGAGGTCTCTTCAAAATTCTAGCCTTCCGATATCCAAAAAATTAGGACAAGCAATCTCTCAAGAATATTTTTTCTGTATTTAATCTGAATTGATATTTCGAAATCATATACATTAATTGTACCACTACAAACATAAGAACGTGAAAAAAGAAACACTTAAGATAATTAACAAACATGTCCTTGCTCTTAAAAAGTGTCGAGGACCTTTTTCTTGTACATGCCGTATACTACTTATTCATTTGAGGCTTAAACTCTGTTCATATGACCTCCATTGCCACCATCACAACGATTATTTAAAATAAAAGGAACATGCAGGGGTTTATCTCCGTGTTCGGCATTGTCTGGATACAGATATATGTAATACTTCTACCTACAACAAAGAGTCAGATGTTGTATGATACAAATAAAGAATACTGGGATTTACAAAAACGGGTGGTGAAAATGGAGGAAGAAATGATTCGATTACGTAAGGAAAATCAAAGTGAGTACATTAACTGTATACAATTAATGTAAAGAAAAGGAACTGTTTTTAAATCTTGTTTCCGATGTTTTAAGTGCTTAAATTGCTGGGATGCTATGTTATGGAAGTGTCATAGATTTAAAATTGATTTGTAGTTTAACAAATTGTGAAATTATGCGATATTTAATATCATTTTCCAGGGAATGGAAAAGTTGTGACCTTTTCAGCAACTGCAGACAGTAAGATTCGTCAAACAATCACGGAAGAAAAGGAGATAATTATTTTAAAGAAGGTACTGAATAACGTAGGAGACGGATATAATTCTGAAACAGGAATATTCACTGCACCTTTGGCTGGAAATTACGCCTTTTACTTCTCTGTCGAAGTACGACCTAACAAGAGACTGAGTATATATTTATATGTCAATGATAATCATGTAGCTGAAGCACTAGCGGGAAAAAATGTAGAACACTTCGACACCGGAAGCAACATGGTGACTCTCTCGTTGCAGAAAAATGACCGAGTATGCATTAAGTCACATCCGAATAATGACCAAATAGTTGATATTCAGTTTAGTGGAAACAGCTTTTCTGGATTCTTACTTTCTTGAAATAGAATTACAATTTTACTGTGAATAGTTTAGATCCTCGGGAACAAAAAGAGGCCATCAATATTTGTTTTTCAATGCTGCAATATATTGTGTAGATCTATATAACATGTCTAACAGTAATAAATTATGTATGTTTAAAAAACAATGTTTTTTTGTATTCTAGATCAAATCTAACTTAGTGTAAGTAATTGAGCAGTAAACGAAATACAAAATTTAAGTATACTTTGTAAAAAAAAAAAATAATAAGAATCTATACAAAATCACGAAAAGACTGGTTCATTTATCTTTCTTAATGAAATTGAAATTTTTATCCTGCTTCAGATATTTAAATAGAATACCATCAACGGACAAAAATACTTTGATTGGCAAAGAACTTAAATATGGTGATCTGATCTAGGGACGAACATAGGTCCGCCTACCAAAATATTAAATATTTGCTCAGACACGAACTTTTCAGAGATATTGTATTGTTTTTTTCATATGTTTTATTATATCTTCTTGGATTTTTTGAAAGTTTGAAAGTTTTCAGTTTCAAAAGATTGTGGCACTACTTTGGACCTGTTATCAATATATCGGTGTATACATAGTAGGAAAAAGCAATCAATAATACTTCCTTTTCAAACAGTTGTAGAAGAAAGGATTATTGTGGTTCCTAGCTCATACATGTACTGGTATGTAACATCTAGAATTTTTGTATCTTTTGATGTCTCTTTTAATGTCTCACATGTAACCGGACAGCAAGGTAGATTATGTTTTCATCATTTATTTATTTTAAGAAGAAATAAGGCATTGACCTACAATAACAAAGTATATAATAAATCCAAATTAAAGACATTATTTAAAAAATATGAAAATAACATATGAAATAATTTACTTACAATAAAGGTTTTAGAAAAAATGAACTCTATAAAAAAATGTGTACTGTAAACAATTCAAATTGAAATCTTACAGACTCATCATTATTTAAGTTACAACTTTGACTGCAAAAATACAATAAAGTAAAACGTTTGCAATCAAATTTTTAAAACACATAATCAAATATATAAGTTACATACCATAAGATGCATACGATGGACTCTGGATTAACTACATGAAAACGTATTACAGTACTGCTCTGACTTACATAGGTAAAGCGCGGTAAATTTATACCTAAAATGAAAATGTATTATTGGATGAAAAATAAGAGAAATAACCAATCAAATTAAAGAACCAATGAAATCATAGACAGGCAACTCAATCCAGTTGCGCAAACGAACTTGTGGTTAATCAAGTTTTAAGATTATATTTCTAAGATCAATTTAAAAAAACTAATAAATACATATAGAAATAGATTTTATAATATCAGATGTGTTAGGGTAACACATGTACAAGATTTAAAAAAAAAGTAAACAAAATAGAAGATAATAAAAAAAAAATCTCTAAATATCTTCAGTTTTTAAAAAAATATTATATGAACAAAACAAAATTGATTTATCAGATGAAGTGAAAAAGAATTAGAAAGATTACACGATCAGTACGTACTGGTCCCTGCTGACAAAGCAGGTAACAACATTGTCTTTGTTTGTAAGACACATTATAAAAATTGTATTTTAGAGGTTCTGGGATTTAATTCTTCAAGTGCTAATCCAACATATACCCATAGCTCCCTTTCTAAGGAGGAAATTCTTCAAAATCATATGTCAGTTTTGAATATTTTTAATATTCCTAACAATTAAAATGAATTTGAATTATCATATCTATATTGGATTCCAAAACTTCATAAAAATCCTTACAAACAAATATACATAGCGGGTTCCAGTAAATGTTTTACCAAGCCTCTTTCTTTACTCCTCACTAAGATATTAACAGTAGTGAAGGAGAAACTTCAGAAGTACTGTGCAACAATATATTCGAGAGATGGTGTAAATCAGATGTGGAAACTAAAAAATTCCAAGGAACTTTTGGAACATTTTTACCAAAATCAACAACATAAAAACTTACGACTTTTCAACTTTATGTACAACTATTCCCCACGATAAATTGAAGTCCAGACTTTCTGACATCTGGGTTTTTTTTTCAATAAAAATGGAACTCGTAAATTTACTTACCTTGTCATTGGACATTTGCAAAATTACTTTGTTAAAAAACAATCTGTACGTACAAGTACTCTGAAGTTGACATTAAAAAATGCTCGAGTTTCTGATTGACAATATCTACGTGGTTTTCGGAGACCAGGTCTTCCAACAATCTATTGGAATTCCCTTGGGTACCAACTGCGCCCCGTTATTAGCACACCTATTTTTGTATTCATATGAAGCAGAATTTGTTCAAGATCTTTTACGTGAAAAGAAGAAAACACTTGCTGTGGCCATCAACTCGACATTTAGACATATCGACGACGCATTGTCAAATAACAATGGTTATTTCCATTCTTATGTCGACACGATATATCCCTGTGAGCTTGAGATAAAAGATACCACAGAGTGTGACACATCTGTCTCACATTTGGATATATTATTAGAAAAAAGACGTTAAAGGTAATCTAACAACAAAGCTTTATGATAAACGTGATGACTTTAACTTTTCAATTGTCAACGTCCCTTATTGATGCAGCAATATACCCTTATAACCTGTATACGTGGTTTATATCTCTCAGTTGATTCGATACGCAATTCTCCTCGGTCTTCAACAAAGAGGGAAGAATGGATAATATGCTAGATATAAGGGTCCCTCGCCATTCCATAACATGAAGAACATTAACATCAGTACCAGTGGAATTAAGAAACTCCTTGCCGTCCCTAACCAATGTAAGGCCATCGGTCTGACAAAGTTCCGGGTACCGGGGTAGATTACGGAGACAGTTTATGGATGAGATAGCCCCAATATTTCAACTGCTATTCCAGTCATCAATCAACCAGGGTACATTACCAACTGTTTGGAAGTATGCATATGTTGTGCCTATCTTTATAAAAGAGAACAAAGACAAAGCAGTGAATTATAGACCGGCGTCTTTGACTTCAGTCACGTGTAATTTTCTTGAACATATCATGGTCAGCAACATCATGGACCATCTAGATACACACAAAATCCTGCAGGATGCACAATATGGATTCAGGAAACGCCGCTCCTGTGAAAGCCAGCTTATGATAACGGTACAGGATCTGATTGACTAGTAACATAGACAACAAAGGAAAAATAAATGTCATATTGCTGGATTTTTCGGAAGCCTTTGACAAAGTCCCTCATCAATGTTTTCTGTAAAAGCTGGGCTTTTTCGGCATTAGAGGCTGTCATCTGCAATGCGTACAAGACTTCCTAAGTGAGCACACCCAACAGGTTCTGAATAGAACATCAGGTACAGCTGCAGTACAATCCGGAGTACCACAGGGAAGTGTACTTTGATCACTCCTATTCCTTCTACTTATTATTGATCTGCCGTTGTATGTCAAAGAAAGCAACTGTCCGACTATTTGCAGATGATTATACAGAGACATTAAAAATGAGGGAGGGTGACATAAAGCTCCATAAAAACCATGATGAGCTTCAGAGATGGGAGGAAGAATGGATGATGGAATTCCATACTTGAAAATGTCTGCTCTTACCAACAAAAGGATGGTACTATAAAAGTGGTTATTTACGCGTGGGGGAAATTTACACTACTTACGCGGTAAGCTTAGAACCGCGTAAAATACCCCCGCGTGTATGGTCACAAAATTTCAAAGTTCTGGAATCATTCTAGGCTATTACAGTGTACTTATACTGTTAGACCGGTCGAACCAGTCGTATATTAATCGTGGTGTTGAACGCACGTGAGTAGATAATTACATCACAACCAGTGATGGAAACGTATTTTTTTTAAAATAGTGCAATGAAAAATACATCTTCATATTAAATATTTTAAAGCAATGTCACGCAATTAGAACTTCAAAACATCGATACTCATTTTCATTTCCTTTGTATGTACGTGTACTTCCCTCTTTATTTCAAATAATTAGTCCAAAATGTTACACAAATTCACAGTCACTAAAAACGTACCTATTGAATTAATTGTCAACACTCGCCACGCAGATACAGATAAGTAGATCCCACTTTGAAGTTTGAGCTTGCGTAAATAATTATAATAAAGCGTACACCAGTTGTTCACACTTCACCGCTTTTGACTGTGCAGATCTCTGTTATATTAAGCAATCCAAGGAAACATGCACACATCGATGACCAGTATAAATTCTTTTTGTTTTGTTTGTCTAATTTATTTTTCGTTATTCATGCATGTAAACTACTTGACCTTTTCAAAGGGGAACAACTCGATGTTAGTAACGATGGCCGCGTAAATTTTTCTCGGTAACTCGTGCGAGCGCGTATATTACACCCACGCGTAATGTTTGACAGTCACAAACGCGTACTTAACAACCAGTGTAAATAACCACTTTTACAGTACATGTATACCTTCTGTCATCCATGATCATAAGTTGAAACAGCTAGTAAATACCTGGGAATCCACCCTCATCAAAGCCTGAAGTGGAACCACAACATTGACACCTTTGCTAAAAAAGCCAAATCTAGTGTTGGCTATTTGAGACGCATTTTACATCAGTGCCCATCAGAAACAAAGGTCTTATGCTATCAGACCCTAGTCAGGCCCATCTTGAAATACGGGAGTACCGTCTGGGATCCCTAGGGACAGTATTGGCAAACTGGAGATGGTCCAAAGACGAGCTGCCCGAACTAGCAGCGCAACCAATATGATTAATCAGCTGAACTGGACATCTCTTCAGGAGCAATGTGGTCCAGCAAAAGCTATTATGATGTACCGCATAGTGTACCAGCTTATTAAATTGACATTCCACTACTCCCCCTGGCCGCAACAACCAGGAAAGGCATGATGTTTCTGGTTCCATACGCCAGAACCTTAGTGTAGAAGTCCTTTTTCCAAGATGATATACGAGCGTGGAATTCTCTACCAAAACACTTGGTTACATCCATCTCCATAGAGATGCAAAACTAAGCTATCTAGCCACATCTTCCGACCATTAACTAACCAATCTATTGTAGCTGCACTGTAAATAGTCTTTTTAGGTCACCTGAGTCACTCAGGTAACCTATTGCTATCTGTTTTCGTCCGTCGTCGTCCGTCGTGCGTCGTGTGTTAACATTTGAACATTTTCAGCTTCTTCTCTGAAACCGCTGAAAAAATTTCAGCCAATTTTTGCATATGGCATCTATGTGTGAAGGGGAACAAAATTTTTGAATTTCGTGGTCCCTGCCCCCCTGGGGCCTGAGGGATGGGGCTAAAACCATCAAAATTAATGCAATCTTTAAAAATGTTCTTCTTTGCTCCTGGACATCAAGCAGTCAAACTGTTGACATGATTGTAATAAGCATTGAGCCCTCTACCAAAATTGTGAAATTCATGGCCCCAGGGTCAGGGGTTCTGGTGCTAGGGCGGGACTATATAGATAATATAGTGAAAGTGCATTATTTCTTTGAAAATCTTCTTCTCTACTCCTGGGTATTATTGAAACAAATTGAATACATAGTTATGATAAGCAAGGGTGACTCTACCAAAATTGTGAAATTCATGGCCCCAGGGTCAGGGGTTCTGGTGCTAGGGTGGGGCTATATAGATCGTATAGTGAAAGTGCATTATTTCTTTGAAAATCTTCTTCTCTACTCCTGGGTATTATTTAAACAAATTAGATACAGAGTTATGATCAGCAAAGGTTACTCTACCAAAATTGTGAAATTCATGGCCCCAGGGTCAGGGGTTCTGGTGCTGGGGGGGGGGGGGGTTATATAGATCATATAGTGAAAGTGCATTATTTCTTTAGAAATCTTCTTCTCTACTCCTTGGTATTATTGAAACAAATTAAATACATAGTTATGATAAGCAAGAGGGACTCTACCAAAATTGTGAAATTCATAGCCCCAGGGTAAGGGGTTCTGGTGCTGGGGGAGGGGGGGCTATATAGATCATATAGTGAAAGTGCATTACTTACTTAGTCCTCTTCGTGCTTTGAGCACATAAGGCCTGCACCGAGGACCTCCATCTCTGTCTGTCCGCTGACATCTGCCGTACCTTGCCCCAAGTCCATCCCTGTTCTTTCATTTCTTTTTCTACTGACCGCCGCCATGTCTCCCTTGGTCGCCCTCTGTTTCGTTTCCCTGGTGGAGTCCATCTTAAGACTACCCTCGGTATATCTGATGTTTCCATTCTCAAGACATGGCCAATCCATTTCCATCGTTTCTCTTTGATCTGTTCAGATATGGCAGCTGTTTGTGTTCTTTCATACAGCTCCTCATTACTGATTTTGTTTGGCCAGAATATCTTTAGTATTCTATGGAGACATCTTGTTTGGAAGGTGTCTAGTTTTTGAGTGATGTTGTTTGTCACCTTCCAGGACTCAGATCCATATAGGTGGACTCCAATGACATTTGTTTTAAATATCTTTATTTTGTTTTGGTTCTGATAGTTGAAAATTTCCAGATGTTCCGCAAGTTGGCAAAGGTGGTACGGGCTTTTGCAATTCTATTTTCAACATCCAAGGTGGAATCTCCATTGGCTGTGATCTTGCTGCCAAGGTATATAAAATTGTCTACTTCTTCTATTCTGTTGTTGTTTGCTGTAACTTCCTTTTCTATCTTTGTATTTATCTTCATTAGCTTTGTTCTGTTTACATTTATATTAAGTCCGATTTGTCCGCTATACTTGACCAGGTCATCAGTTTTGCTTTGGATATCCTTATATCGCTGTGCTAGTAAAGCGATATCATCTGCAAAGTCAAGATCTTCTAGTGACTGTCGAAATGTCCAGGATATTCCTCTATTAACCTGACTGGTAGTGATTTTCATAAGCCAGTCTATGCAGAAAGTAAAGAGCAATGGTGAAAGCAGACATCCCTGTCGTACCCCCGTTTGGATTGGGAAGCTGTTTGTTAGTTCTGTGCCGCAGATCACCTTTGCCTGGAAGTCCTTGTATAGCATCTGAATGATGGAAATGATCTTGTTAGGGATGCCATAATGTCTAAAGATCTTCCATAAAGCAGGACGATGTATACTGTCAAATGCTTTGGCAAAGTCGATGAAATTGGCATACAGCGTTGCGTTCCATTCATTGCTCTGTTCCAAAATTTGCCTCAAGGAAAATTTCTGGTCTGTGCATGATTTTCCTTCTCTGAATCCAGCTTGTTCTTTACGAAGGTATGGGTCTACAACTGAGGCCATTCTGTTTAAGATGACTCTGCTTAAGACTTTGCTGGTAACTGACAGCAACATAATTCCTCTCCAATTATTTGTGTCTGCTAAGTCACCTTTCTTGGGCAGCTTCACTATGAGACCAACCTTCCAATCATCTGGTGCTGTTTTTGTCTGCCAAATATATAGTTTGCAGGATATCTGTGAGAAGTCTGGGTGTTAATACTTCCTCGGCTTTTAACATTTCTGCATGTACCTGATCGAGGCCTGGGGCTTTCCCATTCTTAAGAAGTTTGATGGCCTGTTTTACTTCCTCTATTGTTGGTACGTTGGTATCGATGTCCAAAGTGTCTAAACCTTCACTTATTTCAGCTTGTTCTGTTGATGGACATTCCTGGTTTAATACTCGTTCAAAATGATCTTTCCAACAGGTAAGCTCTTCTTCTATACTGGAGGCCAATTCTCCATCTTGTTTTCGCACTGGTGTATCTGTGCTTTTGAATCCTCCACTAAGAGTTTTTGTGATGCGATATAAGGTCCCCATGTCTTGTTTTGAGGCAGCATCTTCTGCATCTTGTGCAAGCTTGTCAACATAATCCCTCTTGTCCCTCCTTGCACTTTTCTTAACTTCTTTATCTTGTATTGAGTATGTTTCTTTTAGCTGGTCTTTTAGCGTCGCTGACTTGGCTGTTAGTATTTTCTTCTTTGTTTTGCATCTATGTTCTACCATTTCCCAGGTCTTAGATGATATCCATTCTTCCTTCTTTTTCCTTTTCAACCCCAGTGTTTTCTTTCCCGCTTCAACAAGTGTGGTGTTGAATTGTTCAATACTGAGTTCTTGTTTGTTTCTTAGGATGGTAAACCGGTTTTTAACCTCTAGATGAAATGATTTCATGAGTGCGGGATCTTTGAGTTTACTCACATCCACTTGAAAGTGCATTATTTCTTTGAAAATCTTCTTCTCTACTCCTGGGTATTATTTAAACAAATTAAATACATAGTTATGATAAGCAAGAGTGACTCTACCAAAATTGTGAATTTCATGGCCCCTGGGTCAGGGGTTCTGATGTTAGGGCGGGGCTCTATTTATTATATAGCGAAAATGCATTAATGCTTTAAAAATCTTCTTCTCTGCTTCTGGGTATTATTTAAACAAACTAAGTACATTGTTATGATAAGCAAGGACACCTCTTCCAAAATTGTGAAATTCATGGCCCCAGGGACAGGGGTTCTGGTGCTAGGGTGGGGCTATATAGCTCCTACAGTGAAGGTGAATTATTTCTTTGAAAATCTTCTTCTCTGCCCCTGGGTACTATTTAAACAAACTAAGTACATTGTTATGATACGCAAGGATGCCTCTTCTAAAATTGTGAATTTCATGGCCCCAGGGTCAAAGGTTCTGGTCAAAAGGGGGGGAGGCTCTATTGATTATAGAGTGAAAAATCAAAATTTCTTTGAAAATATTCTTTTCTGCTTCTGGTTAAAAAGCAAAGAAGCTAAGTATATAGTTATGATGAGCAAGAGTGCTTCTTCTAGAGTAATGAATTGCATGACCCCTGGGTCAGATGTGCTGGTATAAGGGTGGGGCTGTTGATAATGTAGTGAAAATGCATTAATTCTATTAAATAATCCTGTCTGCTCCTTAATGTTAAGCAGTTAAACAAAGTGATTACTTATGATGAGCAAACTTGAAACTTCTGGTCCCAGGGTGAGAGGCTGTGGTGTTTCTCGGTGGTGAAGGGGGGGGGGGGGGGGCTCTATTGATAATATAGTGAATCTGTAGTGAAAATGCATTATTTCTTTAAAAATCTTCTCTGCACTTGGGCATATCAGAGGCAAAAAGTGTAAAAGTTGTAATAAAGGAAGGGTATTTTTACCAGATTTTTGAACATCTGGACCATTTGGTCAAGTGTTCTGGTCCTAGCCAGGGCTCAATTAATTTGCATTCTACTGAGAGGAGTTATTCCCCTTTGCCGTTTACTTTTGATAATTAATCACTGTAAATAATGTACTTGAAAAATTAATAGAATAAGAGAATTATGCAAGAATTTTTATTGTATAATACAAAAAGTATTTTCTTAGTTTTAATGATCATGTGGACTTGTAAGTAATAGATAAATAAAAATGAGACAAAAATAACTTAAATGTTCATCAAAGACCAAGAGAGGCCAATGTAAGAGATTACAATAAGGAATTAAAATAGTACAAAAGCACTGATATTTTGTTAATATGCTGTATGGTGATAGTGATAAATGGGGAACAGATTAGAACCTAATTTATGAACTGGTAATGAATAGTAGACTAATTATTTTGTTGATCTTGATCACCCTATTTTTCTTGCTTTTGGGCAACAAAGCTTCACCTTTCATTTCATTTTAATACTCTATGGATCCTCTAAATTGTGGTATTGTACTCAGGTGACCGTTAAGGCCCTTGGGCCTCTTGTTAAATAACCTTGTTTTCCTCGCACCACCATGTGCAAGAACGATATATCAGGTTTCCTTATGACAGATCGGGTGCTTTAAAAGGAAGATAACATGGTGTCCGTGTACAATCTTTTATATCACTTCCAGTTTTCAGGTACACATCTTGCCATTTTATTGCCTAATACTATTCCTTATTTTACTTCTAAAACACATTAAGCCATTCTTACAAAATATCCATGTCTTTGCCTTTATATCTCGTCCATCGTCTGGCATACTCCTTGACAGAATGCATAACAGAAATCAATTCTTACATAATGTCCAGGTCTTGTTTACATAGATTATCTAGCCCATCGTCTGGCATACTTCTTGATGGAATGCATAACAGAAATCAAACTCTGTCACCATTTAAAAGTAGAATTTATATTTCGACTTCAATTAGAAGCACATAAAGAATGATTTTTTAATCATTTTATTCTTAACAAATTATTGAAAATAAAGACTTCATACCATTACACAGGTGCTCAAAGTTTACAGTTATGACATGATGATGATAAATAACTCTCACAGATGTAAGCACATTGCGTGGTACGTGGTCCTGAAAAGGATTCATACCTCATAACTTGCCCAAGCATTCCAACATTCTAGTTAGCTAAAAGTTGCAATCTGCTGAGGTATTGTTGGGGACACATTGAGTATATGCATCAATTTGAAAAATTTATACATTTATAAAAACACTGAAAAATGTACAAAATATCTGAGCAACTATCAGTCAAAACATGATTATGTAAAGAAGCATCATGCAATTTCATTTCATGAATTATGCTTCAAGGAAAGGGTTGCAGCATTATGAAAATGTTTTTCTCCATAGCAAGGTTTTTGATAAAAGTAAATGGCTGAAGATCTAGATAATTTGCTTCAATTTTAAAACTTCTAACAATTAAGTTCTTCGGTTGTTGAAATAACAATGATTTATGCATAATACAATGAAAGAAAAAGTGAGCAAGTTCACATACCCCAAGCTCCCCCACAACTCGACAATGCAACAGGTAATGAATGGCACAGTGCACTTTAAATTAATACACAGTATAATTCAAAAAATCATCACATCAAAACTTCTTGCATATAAGGACATTCAAATCTTTGTATGTTACAAATTTAATTGGGCTGAAGTTTCTAGATAAATAATGGAATCAAAATTTCTTGGTAATATACAAATCTATACATTATGTCAGAAATACCTACAAAGTTTCAGGAAATTCAGTGCAGGAGTTATGCTGACAAACTGTTATTTAAATTCCTCAGCGATTTCGATTTGTTAATGAGTGTAAGTCCATGTCCAACACATGACAATTTACACATTTAAATAATTGATGGAAACAAAATTATGATGTAGTCATATGAATTTGTTTATATACTGTACTCATGAAATTATTTAAGGCAAAGCACCAATTTGAGGAGGGGGGAGAGAGAACTATCCAAGATTTCGTGTGTGTGTGTTAAATCATTAATATTTTGATCTCAAAATCAACAGGGGTCTTTTAAGGTCATAAAATATTAATTTCACATAAAATTTCATTACAAAAGCTGACTCCAGTGGATTTCCTTATTACCTAGCTGGAAAGTTTCTTCAATAAAAGGCAAAACTCTTAGGGCAAAAATAACGGAATCAGAATTTCCTGGAAATATGCACATCTACACACTGTGTACTAAATATCTGCAAAGTTTGATCAAATTCTGTGCAGCGGTTTAAGAGGAGTTGCGCTGACAAACTGTTTATCTCTATATCCAAGATATGGCCAAAAATCTAAGTTGAAAAGTGCCGAAATTCCCAGAAAAATAAAGGAATCGTAATTTCCTGGTAATACTAGTATGCACATCTACACATCTGCAAAGTTTGACCAAATTCTGTGCAGCGGTTTAAGAGGAGTTGCGCTGACAAACTGTTCATCTCTATGTTCAAGATATGGCCAAAAATCTAAGTTAAAAAGTGCCAAAATTCCCAGAAATAATAAAGGAATCGGAATTTCCTGGTAATGTGCATATCTACATATTGTGTCCTAAATATCTGCAAAGTTTGACCAAATTCTGTGCAGCGGTTTATGAGGAGTTGCGCTGACAAAAAAAGGACTGACGGACTGACTGACTGACTGACTGACGGACGGGTCCAAAACATTATACCCCCCGCAACTTGTTGCGTGGGGTATAATGAAGTTTGAGATCCAAGAGACATTTTTTTCTTTCATAAAAGCAGCATTTATATCACCCATTCAGATAAAGCATGTCATGTTTTTGACATGTTCATGATTTGTTTTGATCACAGTTTATCTTTGCCTTTTTCATCATCCATCCAGAAGGTGACATCTAAAGATTATAATCATCCCTATAACAAGGGCACCGCAAAGCAGAGCATCCCTCACAAAGAGCATATCTATAAATCAAGACAGCATTCAACATCGATCCCGATGCAAATTACGTCACTTCCGTTTCGCACAAGGACAAACTGCGTTACTATATTCCCTCCAACTTTGTTGCGAGGAGATATAAAAAAACAGGATATTATCAATTCCAAAAAATGTTAACCAACCACAATTCTGTTGTTCACATATTTAATGCCTACATGTGTCAGTGAAATGAATTTATTTGACTAGAACATAAATGAATTGTTCATGAATTCATAAAAAAGTGAAAAATTCCAAATTTAAGTTTATGTTTGATACAATAATGCAATTAGAGGATAATTACAAAAATAATTTACCATACATCATGTAGTCAGGTACATGATATATATCGTCATAAAAATGTATGACCATATAATTAATTAATCTGTATTTTATACATGATAGATAATAATATATGCATCAAATTGCGTGAGGTAGTTGATAATCACTGGGACACTGTAGATGAAAGTTTAAAAATCTTTAAGAAAAATTAAAAAACACAAACAACCAATCAAACAATTTAACAAAACAACAAATAAATCAGACATATCTATCGGATTATTCACAGTAGTGATACAATTGATTTCTTTTCCCATCTTGTGATTCTTTGTTCCTCAGCTGTCTCCATCACTAGTAAACTGAGATCCACCAATATCTTAATAGCTGTTTTCATCTCTGCTAAAAGTAGGAAGAACTCAAGAAATTAGATCCACCACTAAAGTAGGTGACTTCATCACCACTTAATGCTAGCTCCATCACTTCAAAAGTGTGTTTTTATCACCACTAAATATACAGTCCATGACTTCACATCCACTTAATGTTAGATCCACATCTTTATCACTATTTATTGTTAGATCCACCACTTTGTTGTCTGTCTTCATCCCTACTTAATGTTAGATCCACATCTTCATCACTACTTATCATTAGATTCACCACTTTTTTAGCTGTCTTCATCACTACTTATTGTTAGATCCACCACTTTGTTGTCTGTCTTCATCCCTACTTTATGTTAGATCCACATCTTCATCACTATTTATCATTAGATCCACCACTTTTTTAGCTGTCTTCATCACTACTTATTGTTAGATCCACCACTTTGTCATTCCCACTACACTCCTCCTCCTCACTAACATACACTAACTTCCTGTGACTGGCATTCAGCCAGCCATTAGATTTCTTCCTTCTTTTAACAATGCTAGGACTACACTTTTCTGGAGAATCTTTGGACGGTGAAATATAACAATCAATAGAAGACTGATAAAGTTTTCTTGGTGTCTTATTGGCACAATGAGAATAATTTTCAGTTTCTGTTTCAATAATTTCCACACAGTTTTCTGTTTCAGATCTTTTGTGTTTGAGTGGCGATTCTGAGTAGGAATTCTGACTTGGTGGTAGTGTGGCATCACTGTCCGACTCCTCTTGTAAACTGGTACTCCTCCCTGGAACATCCCCTAAACTGGTGCTTGTCTGTTGTACAGTGGTAGACATCTCAACTACTTCCACATCATCATCAGAATCCTCAACCTCAACATCATCCAGGAATTCTCTATTTTTAGAATTTCCAGTCACATTTTTCTGACCATTACTTATAGTAATATCTTTTTCATTTTCAGGCTTCTTTTCCACTGTGTCATTAATGGAGATCTTTGATTCCTGAGAGGAACATCTTGAACAATAATCCTCTTTGGAAGAAACACTTTCATCTGTAATAATAATCACATTGTTTGTAAAATCATTCAGTTTAATTTTTTTCTCAGTGTCATCGTTATCAGAAAAATGAGTTAATTCCACTTTATCATCGTCCATTACATGAGTATTAAATCCCTGAGATTCTTGGATATCACAGACAATGCCATTATTTGATCCTTGGGTTAAATTAGGAGTTACCGATAATGAATTTGATTGATTATCACAGTCACTAGGAGAGATGTGTAAATCACACACACTGCTGCCATTATCACTCAAAATATTGCACTTCTCATCAGATTTCTCATCAAATAAATCATTGCTCCCACTAAAACTTCCTGTCTGCTTGTTTGACTCTAAACTTCCTGTCTGCTTGTTTGACTCTAAACTTCCTGTCTGCTTGTTTGACTCTAAACTTCCTGCTGCAGTTTTACCCTCTACGAACTCACCAGCTTTTAAATTCCCTTCATCATCTTCTGTTGTGTTAAGCTTTGATGGATCAGCACTCTCTCTGTCACCATTTACAGTTTCTAATCCTAGAGTCGTATTGTTTTCATTGTGATCTGATTCACCCTTATAACTTTCCTCATCATCATCTCTGATAAAAACAAACAACAAAAATTAATTTGTTTGCAATGTTCAATTTCTCTTTTCCATATTACAATGAACTGAGAGATATATAGGATCTCCCATGGTTTGTGGTTAGATATAATTTTTATCCAACGAGTGGTGTGATTTTATCCTTTTCCTTGGCGAGGGGATAAAAACACACGAGTTGAATAAAAAATCATATCTAACCACAGACCATGGGAGATTCTTTTTATCACACATCTTACACATAGCTATTTCATGTTTTACACTGTTTTATATATATATATATATATATAAATCCACAATATTTGACTTGATCCATTTCATGCAAAAACCATTGTGACACCACAACCATGGATATGGAAACGCTATCCTATGAGCTACAGTAAAACTCGGTTATAGCACAGTTCTGGGGACCTGAGAATTTACTTCGCTATATCCGTAATTCGTAATATCCGTATAACAAATTTGTTAAAGTATACATAGTGACTTTGCAATATAGATTTTTTTTTCCCTTGAAGTATGACTACCAAATCTATTTAGTAGGGAAGTATAGAATATAAAATTTACCTTGGAGTTCAAAAATTTTCGGATGAATAGTGTTCTAGATATATATACATGTACTTACAAAGTAAATGTCAGTTCAATATTTTAAAAAAACTAAATTCTTTAAAAATTCACTATAAATGATGTAAATTTCGATATTGTTAACTTCTAGGGGACACAGAATCAGTTCGCTATAACCGTAAGTCATCATATCCGAGTTCATTATATCCGTAATAATTTACAAGGAATTGTTAAGAATTTCCCCAAGGATTGCAAAAAACTTCGCTATATTCGTAAATTCGTTATATCTGTGTTCGTACTAAACGAGTTTTACTGTATATCCACTGTATAAAGGAGTAAACATGTGATAAACGTGTATTTTCAACATTAGCGCATACATACACATGTGATCAGAACAGGTAACTTTATGATAGACAGAAAGATTAACAAAGACTTACTGGTGTTGCTGATTGACTTCCTCCAATGAGAGAGCTTTTCCCTCTGTCTGTTCACAATCATCATACACAACAATCCTATGAGACAAGCTTTCTGATTGGCTGCTTTTCTGGGAGTTGATGGCCTCCAGTAAACTTTGTCTTGGTGTGGATAGTGTCTGGGAACTGCAATTACAGTAATAAATATATTCTCCCTGCATCATGGATATATGTAAATTTGATGATACATGATTTATTGGAGAGAAAAAATCAATTCACTGAGCATTTTAGAATACACAATCTCAGTTTTTCTGACATTGAGGATATAATTTTCAAGATGTCTGCTTATTGATACATACATATGTATATAGGAACGTACTTCTCTTTTCTATCTTCCTCATCTGATTCACAAATTCCACTCATCTCACTGTCACTATGACGACTGCCCTCATAAGAACTCTGATATTCCTCCTCATCCTCCATTTTCTCTGTGATTCTATTCTTAGCAGGTGATGCAGAAAGTGTTTTCCGCTTTTTGGGGGAGAAAGAAATCTGGCTTCCAAACAAAAGTTCTTCTGAATCACTTGAGCCCACTGTAATACAATCATTAAACAAATGTACATTGTAAACAACACAGTATCTATCAAATTCTTCTATTACTTTTTAAAAATATTTCTAATGAATTGTGACAAATTATTTTGAGTGAAAATGAGTAAAAAATGTCAGTAAGACATTTGATTTAAGAAGATTTGATATTCATCTCTTGGTCACATCAAGAGATTTTAAGGGGATGAAGGACACATGGTCACATGACTCTGTTGAACTAAGTCATAGTCTCCATATATATAAGTGCAAAACGTGTCAAGCGTCAGTTCTTGTATAAAATTTTGACTTTTTTTTTTAAATTACAAACTTATATATAAAAGAAATAAAAAATTTTGACATTCTTGTAAACATTAACAAATTATAAAAAAAGATTGATCCACTCCTCTGTTTCTTTAAACTGCGCATTCAACAAGTCGGTGACGTCATACACGATCTGTTAGTACAGCAAGATCATACTCGGTGACTACAGGGGCGGTATTATTATGTAAAAACAGGTCATAATCAGTATATGATGAAATATTTTGAGAAACAGGGAACACAAAAATTATTTCTGCATTTCTGATGATGGAAATCTTATGTAGGTATATCTTATTTCACTTATTTAGCTTACGTGTGACGTCATAGTTGGTTTTTCCCGTACTCGAAAAATGTAAACATGACAAGTTTTTGTCCTGCTTATGTCGTCTTTAGCGATGTCCTGTGCAATATTGAGGTCAGCTTCACCATTCGAAATTTTTACAGTTAATCAATAATTTGAAGGATTTGCATTTCAACGTAAATTTAAAAATATTGAATGATAGGATTTTTTGTAAATTACGTTTTTTGTTGTTCAAATTGTATTAAAAAGTTCGTAATTTTCCCTATCCAGATGCAGTGTGATAGATGAAACTTGCTTTTTCGAATTTTAAACCCTATTCATACTCTGAAATATTTTAAAAGATACATGTTCACTTACATATTTTTTATAAATGCTTTAAAAATCCCATTATGGACAGAGCAATGAGCCCGGAAACATGGAGAAGTAAAACTCCACTTAGATACTGTAGGGCATAATATTTGTCAATCAATATCTCTAAAATAAGGTAAGAAACCTAATGATATAACTGCTTTAAGATATGTGGGACATACTTAATTAGAAATATACAAAATATGAAAAAAATTGAATGACAAGTATTTTTTCAGCTGAAGGTCCTTCTTCCCCTTAAATTTATTTATTGATGAAAATGTTAAAGAATCCATTTCCATCTAATCAAAAAATATACCGGAAACGCTGTGTTTTTTCCTCTTGAAGGATTGTTTCAATAATCCTAGAGGGCGCTGTGTATCCAGTTGGTCTTTCACATGAGAGCCGTGCTTTAGCTTCAAAAACTCATTTAATCGTCTTTGCACCTAGATTTAAAAAAGGGATAATAGAGTGAATTTAAAGTTTTCAGGAACATAATAATTAATAAATTAACTTGCAATATCTAGTAATATAGTAATATATAGGATCTCTGTACATTAACTAAATATGATGATATGGTCTAAATTTGCTTCTTTATAGTTGATAACACCAGAGTAAAGGTCAAATTTGATGCACTTCCACAATTTTAAATGAGTTCCCTGCAAAAAATTTAAATGCATTTTTGCTCACTTTCCACAATCTCTGTTTCTCTTTCAGATTTTAAAAACTTAGTTGGCCAAATTGTATGCATTTCTCTTTCACAAACCACTTACAGTTTTTATTTTTCCACTGAAATAATTCTATATAGATTCTACCTGCGCTAAACTGGCATCCTCTGCTGGTTTGACATTAGGAAACACGCATCTAGGCTGTAAGTAGGTCACTAGGTCACGCACCTCAAGCATGGATGAATGGAAGGAGTAACAGATGCGGTATATTCCCTTGTCACGGAGGACGATCTCGTCCTCACTCAAGCGGAATGACTGGGTGAAAAACATTGTGGAGGGGAGAATGACCATAACCTTCAAGTTCTTATTTTTCCTGTCACACGGGAGGCTAGGGACTTCGCCATAAACCTAAAAATAGCAACAATATTAGTACTAATGAATAAATAGAGAACAAAATAATTACAAAAGGGTCAGTGGCCTAGATGGCCACCTTAATATCATGGATTTTTTCCCAACTTTGCCCACTTTGGACAGGATATCTATACCTATCTGACATTAATTTTAAATTTTAGTTGATGGCTCTTGAATTTGTTCATTATCCATGTTTTTACAATGCATAAAGCTTGTCTGCTACATTCTAAGAAATAAAGATGATTTTCCGAGATATAATACATTTCATTAAAATATGATCAGCTTATCCTAACCTCAGACACTTAGTTCACAATTTTGTTAGAAGATTAATAAATAGCTCACTAGCAGTCACTAAGCATAGAGTTTGTCTGCTCGATATCCAAAAGTTAAGATATCATACACAAGTAATATATGATCAACTTAGCTTGACTCTGGGGCCTAAATCCTGGATCATAGAGAAATCATGAATTTCAACATTAAGTACTTCATTCACTGACTAACACCTATAAAACTACAATTATATGCAGACTATATCTCTGCTCTGTTTCATAGAAAGTGGATCATTAAAACTTTAGAGTATTACTCTCCCTCCACAAGCATGGATAGGTGTGGCTGCAGAATCAGATGTAAATATTCCTCGTAGTTCTGAAATCCGATTATAAATGTCCTCTTTATCCCTTCTGACATGAACCTACAAAAGTCATACAAGACATGCAGGCATATAATTGTAAATGAGTGATGCAAATAAGCATTTGAAAAAAATCAAAATGTTTTATAATTAAAATTGTATCCTGTTTATGGTAGGGTTTTTTTTTATACCAGTAATATACATTTTCTTACAGTACAGTGCTATTAAAGAGAGTTTTACTCTATGTAGAATTTTATTTACAAATTCATAACTAAATGTAGAAGGCCAGTGAAATTGAAAGACAATGACCATGATGACAGTGATATTTCATCAAATGAATTCAATTCACTTGCATAATTTTCTTGTCTTTTTTTAATGTAATAGTTGTCCTTACCTTAGATCCTAAGGCTTGGGCAACCTCTTTAAGCAGGGGTTCATGCCCATAGTTAGCCCTGGGGGTGAAATGGACAACGTAGTTATCCCCCTTGGCAGTCCACTCCTTAACTAGGTCACACGCAGCACTGATAATGGTCTGACGGGAGGGAATAGAGAAACAGTTGGGGTGGCAAAACGTGGTGTCCACATACAGACTGACCAAAGGTTTCACTCTGCAAAAAGAATGTCAAAATAATGACAAACCTCAAACTAAATCACACAGTAAGATCATAGGCCACAAAGCTCACCAGGTAAAATTTTCTTACCCATGTTTTGAAAACAATCAATTCAGCAACTTAATGCAACATAGGGATGCTAGTACATACTGTAGATTGGCAAATAATCACAATGGTTTTAATTTCACTATGTTCACGATTTATCATTTTTCTGCAAAATTAATTCCATTACATGAATGCTATTATTAGTTTTTAAAAACTCTTAAATGCTTATACGAAATTTAATTTCTTGTAGCTTGAAACTTAAACCATTGTGATTGGTATTTTTTGGGAAATCGTGAAATTTTAACGCCGTAGAATTAAAATGGAGTACAGTATATATCAGCTCCACTATTTGTATAATCCTTACTGTTTTGCAATATTTCATATAAGCCATCCTGGCCTCAAGACCATGAACTGAAAACAGACTTAAGTCAAAATTTTAAATAAATATAACCTCTAAAATAATTCTGATAATCAAACAAAATTTTCATCATTTGTTTTTTATTTCAATATTAGACAAACATGCAATGATTGAAGTTAATAGGTGAAATAAAACTCAAGATACTGAGAATCAAAATTAGGACTTAAGTCTATTCTCAGTTTATGGTCTTGGGGCCTGATTTTACATGCAGGGTTGTCTCTAAGAATTGAAATAGCAGGGGACATTAAAATTGTAGAAGGGGGTCCGGGTTCCTCCCCTAACAGGGGTTGAGGGGGAATATCAGAATATCCGGGGAATTACAACATTATAGGTGGTGAAATTCCCCAACCCCTGGGTCTTAGGGACAACCCTGTACATGTATTGATTTTTAATTATCTTCCCGTAGGTGGGGCCTGGGTCTTCATTTAAACAAAAATCTCCTTTACCTAGGATTCTCAGTGGATAATTTGATTGAAAGTAGTAAATTCTTTAGATGGCAAAAATCATTAAATATGTCTTAAAATAGTCCCCTTCATAAGCCACATCTAACTTCAGTTTTTTGTTATAATGACTTACATGTACATATAAGTGAAATAAACATGGAATTCAAATAGATGTACTATCTAATAAGCATGTACCGGTAAGGAACTGAATCTTTTAAAACAGAAAATTTCATGCAATGAGTGGTACAGTGTATCTTATTGACATTATATGCTACTTTTCTTTGGTACAGAAGTAATATGACAGTTTTACCTCTGGTCTACATGGAGTGCCTGTATTTTCATAACTTGGTCAGATTCCCATCGGAAGTCACCTGTATACAACACAGTCCCATCAAATCCCTCAAACAGAAACCTACAATTACAAACAATCACAAACATTACTTAATCCAACAATCTACAGAAATATACATGTTAAGTAAAGGAAACATCCTGAGTAACTTACATGACAGATCCCAGGCAATGACTGCCATGTTAACTGTTAAGTAAAGGAAACATCCTGTGTTACTTACATGACAGATCCCGGGCAATGACTGGCGTGTATCAGAGTCACTGTCACCTCGTCTTTCTGCAGATCATAAACAAGTATGTAAATACATCTATCATTTAGTAAAATTTTGTATACATTCTTTTACTGTGGAAACATCAATATTTGTGGATTTTGTGGGTACCCTTACCCACAAATTTACAATGTCATCCCCACGAAAGTTTATTTTGTAAACATATTGATTCATTGAATCTACCATATTAACAAGTAACCCACCAAATTACGTCCCCATGAACAAGTAAAGTTTTGCTTGCCCATAAACATTGACCCCCACGAATTAGAATGATTCCACAGTAAATCAAAAGAATTTGATTTACACAATCTTCTGTTACATTTGTGTATATCACCTGCTTTATCTACTTGTCATATAAATAACACAGTCTTACTTTAGCTGAGTCTGGTTCTGGGATTGGAATGACTATGGGTTCAGCCACTTGTAGTGTTCTCTACAAGATATCGAAAGAATTTGTAATAAAGTTGTGTCTGTTTAAAATTGAAGGATTTATACTATCATCAACAGTATTTAAAGTCTTACAGATGAAACTTTTAAAATTATAAGAAGTGAATTAAATCCAAGATTCCTGGTATGGATGAAATCCTGAATGATAAAATATTTTTCTAAATTCTTACAACAAACTTCTCTAATTTAGGATGTTTCTCCATAAGCAGAATTTTTGTGATCTCTGAGCAGTAAAGAAAAATGTCATTTCTGAAACAAAAAAATATGCAAAATGAATTTACATATCAAAATTTCAGCAAAAGTATATCACTATGAATTGTGTCCCCTTTTAAATATTTAAAATAGAATAACAGGATACAATGTTAACAAATGAAGCTTATATTATTTCATAACAAAAAAGTGCAGTTTGCAATCTTCAATTCTCGAAACATACATACATGTAGTACATGTATTGTTTGACAGTCTGTGTAGCTGTTAAAAAAATATATATTTTAATTATCTCCTACCTTGAGGACAACCTTTCAATAAATTCTACAGCACCAAGTCCTTGCATGTGATCTGAAATATGTTTTATAATTAATACATAATGACAAATGTTAGATAAAAGGCATGTACTTATCCAAATTAGACTTACAATTACATGATGGTCTCACCATAATGAATAGTATGTACATCTGACATTACACGTATTTGTCTCTAAATTATAAAATTTTACTCTGAACAAGTTTTATTATTGAATTTTCTCAGTTCTTTTAAAAATGTATGAAACAAGGAGTCTGGACTCTGTACATATTTGTTCAACATTTTATTTCCAATGCTGAAAAAAAGATATTTGAAGGGGGGGGGGGGGTGAAACCCTAGCAGTTCTTTGGAAAAACATTGTGTACTAGGTTGATGATTTTTGTTGATGTTATACTCACCACAGTGACAGTGAGATAGGAAGTATGCTGTTGATCTTAAGTTCAGGCCGTCAAATCTATCTAAAGAGATATTTCTGTACTCCCGCATTTTGCCATTGAAGCAACTCATGGTGCTGAAAATGTTAAAATTTCTTGTGAATATCAAATAACCTTTGGTGCTTCCATCACGCCTTCATAAGTCACAATCATTATCGTTCAATAATGTGCAGCTTTGGAGCAATTTGAATTTTTTTCTGTATCATCACAATTTTTAAAGTGAAAGTAGATATTGAAAACAATGTATTTCACACCCGATGCATTTAAAGTTAACAATGCCAAAAGATCTAGTTTGGGTGTACCTATAAATAACTTGTGATGATTAAAAGGAATGTGTTAATTACTGCTTTAAAAAGAGAAAATAAGTTGATTTTTAATGGACATGATAATATATAAGCCGAATCTGAAAGATTTTTTTTCCTTAAATAGATCGAGCTCGGGATGCTTCAAATCCTGTCAACAGTCAGGAAGCAGCGGTGTATGCCAAACAAAATTTGACGTGATTCAGAGAAAATGACTTACTAGAAACATTTATACTCAAGGTAATATTACACATGTAGTTAGATTTTAGAAAATATGCTTCTCAATTCAAATTCTGAAGAACAATGAAGGCTAAATAACTAAACTATTTAACCCCCTCCTTTTTTTTTCAATCCTCCTTCGTCTCTTCCCATTTCAATCTTACAATTATAGAGGAAATATGTATTCTTATTTTTACCACATTAAATTTCATGGAATCTTGGATTTAACTTACGTTATTGAAGAAAACGATTTTGAATGCCTGAAGGTTCGAAAATGTTTGACAACATGGACAAGAAGGTAAATCTTAAGACATGCCACATGGACAAGGGAAAGGAATGATTCTTGATAGAGGTTGGTTTGTGAAAGGGGGAGGGCATTTAGTTGATGGTAATATTGACAAAGACTTTGTGACAGTTCTGATTTGGCTGTCATTATTTTAGTGTAAAGTCAGTTTTTATTTCATCATTTAAAAACAATTATTCATTTGCCCGAGTTATTCAGTGTCTTGTCATTAAGATTATATTAATAGTAGGATGTTTATTTATAGTCATACATGTTAATTCTACTGCCTTAGGCAGAAGGCTACAGCTTTTTTATTCCATCTCCCGCCAACCGCTTTTATTCATAAATCTACCATTTTTCTACAAAATTCATTTTTGGTTTGCTTGGGACAGGAAGCCATTTTTGAAGCCACATGTCATAAAATCTTGTTAGATATTGCGTGACTTGAACTGGGAGCATTCAAATGCTTTTTTAAGCCGATGTTCACACAGATTTAAAGCACGTGTTTGACAACGACAGTTGTACAAATCTCCTTGGTTACATTAAATTTCGTCTACATCCCTGGCAATGCCAAGAAAAAGGGAGATATAGTATTCTAGAACTGGATGAAAAGCTTTGACATCATTCATAAAATTAAAAAAGGGAATCAGCATTTATATAAAACTTTTATTTCTTACATCTCTACTTTCATTTTTGGTCATTGCGGGAAATCCAATTTTTCAAGAAAGATAAGAACTAATTTTAGACCTGAAATAATGTCATCATTTGCTGTTACAGTATTTGACAACTGAATGACGTTCAGAATTATTGCTTCTAGGCTATATCAACAAAGATTACTCTTCAAAAGGCTAAATTAAGCAGCCATTCAAAGCCAAAGTGATGAGCATGAACAAAAAAAAAACATAGGATAAGGAATTGTGATTTTTATGAATGTGATCAATTGTAGGTTATCTGGTAGTGAATATATCCAGCAGTATCCATGTCTGATCATCTGAAGTTGTCACTTGGAAGCAATCCAACAGATATTGGACAGGGATCAGGGAATTTACCAGTAAAGAACAACCTGACCACCACACCGGGGGTTAGTCCGTTTCCTGGAAATGACACCCCCCTCCCATCCTTCACCCTCTCTGAGCCTGTCTGTCAGGCCATCCTGTACGATGATATCGGAGAGTCAAGGTACACAGTGATTGTACTAAAGGGAAGAAAATTAGGCTTCTCAATTGAAAGTGATTTGAATTTTTTACTTTCCCATTAGATTTTCATAATGTACTTGTAATTGCCTTAGGAGAAGAAGATGTGACATATGATTATTTTCTGTCTTTATTTTGGTTTCTATTGGGACATTGGAGGAGAGGTGCATTTCTAAAGTTTACAGCAGTGGTACAAGTTAATTAAGATTAATCATATGAAACACTTTATTCACATTTGATATGAGATTCTATCTAGTGTAGTATGTCCTACACTGTCTAATATTTTACAGAGTAAGAGTGTGGGACCTGATTATTTTGATTCCTAATGTTTTCTTTCTGGCTTTTCTGATCTACAAATCCAAATCTGCTATCGTCAAACTGAGGAGCACCAGCAGTCCGATATTCACTGCTTTTTATGTTCTGGTGAGTATACTTGTGTTTATAGCAGTTCTCTATAAGCTCCAATCAGTAAATCTTTACCTTTCTATTTACATATAGAGTACATGCATTGTATATACATTTGCTGGTTTATTAGTATTTATTACTAGTTACTAGTTTATTAGTATTTATTACTAGTTATGTACATTTACTAGCTCTTTGACTTTTAGTTTTAAAAGTAAAAAAAGATTTCATTTCTTAATAAGATGTAAAAGTTCAGTTTGTTATAAAAATATACTGACTGGACTGTTGTATAGATTTTGAATATAATTTTGGAATGTCTATTTTGATTGATTGACAGGTGTGTTTTTTGTACCAGTTTATTTTTGACTGACTATTTTGATTGACAGATGTGTGTTTTGTACCAGTTTATTTTTGACTGACTATTTTGATTGACAGGTGTGTTTTTTTGGTACCAGTTTATTTTTGACTGACTATTTTGATTGACAGGTGTAATTTTTTTGAACCAGTTTATTTTTGACTGATTATTTTGATCGACAGGTGTGATTTTTTTGTACCAGTTTATTTTTGACTGACTATTTAATTTTGATTGACAGGTGTGTTTTTTGTACCAGTTTATTTTTAACTGTTTTGATTGACAGGTGTGTTTTTGTACCAGTCTATTTTTGACTGACTATTTTGATTGATAGGTGTGTTTTTTGTACCAGTTTATTTTTAGCTGTTTTGATTGACAGGTGTGTTTTTTGTACCAGTTTATTTTTAACTGTTTTGATTGACAGGTGTGTTTTTGTACCAAGTTATTTTTGACTATTTTGATTGACAGGTGTGTTTTGTACCAGTTTATTTTTAACTGTTTTGATTGACAGGTGTGTTTTTTGTACCAGTTTATTTGTAACTGTTTTGATTGACAGGTGTGTTTTTGTACCAAGTTATTTTTGACTATTTTGATTGACAGGTGTGTTTTATACCAGTTTATTTTTAACTAGTTTGATTGACAGGTGTGTTTTCTGTACCAGTTTATATTTGACTGTTTTGATTGACAGGTGTATTTTTGTACCAGTTTATTTTTGACTGTTTTGATTGACAGGTGTGTTTTTGTACCTGTTTATTTTTGACTGTTTTGATTGACAGGTGTGTTTTTGTACCAGTCTATTTTTAAATGTTTTGATTGGCAGGTGTGTTTTTATACCAGTTTATTTTTAACTATTTTGATTAACAGGTGTGTTTGGTGGCCGTTATTAGTGTTCTGAGGTGCGTTGTCTCTATGACGGTTAACGCCTCCGTTCTGGCTGGAGATATAACGGACAAGGTCAGCTAAAATCTTGAAGATTTAATATCAGATCACTTCTGAATTTGACACTGAAGTTTTCGTTGTATAAAAAAGAAATAAAGTGATATTTATTCTAACTTAAGGTCAATGTATACATCTATATCTTAGTTGCAGTTATTTGTTATATTCATGGTTTGGAAATTAAACCTTAACATTTTCCTGCAAGTTATCATATCTTTCTTTCATTGACAGAGTAAAATTCACATGAGTTCAATTATGTCTACAGTAATTACATGTATTCAAAAAATAAATCTTATGAGTGTTGAATAAGAATGCTCATGGGAAGAGTATTCCTTTGTACATGTATAAGGTGAGCTCTCTGTCTAAATATCAGATTTAGTGTACTTACAATAAGGATTTTTTTTCTTTTGTATATTTTAGGTCCTATGGCTTGTCCTTAGATTCTTCCTTCTTGCCACGGAGATGTCTATCATTGTCTTTGGACTGGCGTTTGGTATTATAAAAACTCTTTACATTTGCCCGTTATCTTATTTGCTTTTGATACATGTATATTTATTTCTAACATATGTGTATGTCTAAGACATTGCATCCTTATGCTCATGTTCTTCATTAATAAAATCTTGAAATTCAGTCTTTGAAAAGTCAAAGCTCAGAACTTATTTATACTTATATGTAGACAATAACATTGTAATTGATGTTAAGATAAAATCAGGTTTAGACAGAGATGGGCAATCATAGATGCTTCCTTGCAATGCTCATTTTGTTTAACTCTTTGTAAAGTATGGCTTTTCTATATTTCAGGTCACTTAGACAGCGGTAAATCCATACAGAGAGTATTACTAGTGACATCTTGTGTAGCCCTTATATATTCCTGTACACAGGTAACCATAGCAATAACACAAATCAAAATTTTATCCAATCAGAGAGGTCATTTTTGATCAGAGTGATTCATAAAGAAATTTAATTTTCATTTTATGAGTTGTAAAGATTTAACTTTAAAGATTTGGCTCTGAAAAATACATGTATCTTTATTCAGGAGTGATTAACCTAATCCAAGTCATATGGTCTTTTTCCCCCAAAAAATGTTAATAAAAAAGCAGATTTCATTTTTTAAAAAAATTGTGTTTCCTCACATTTTTAATTGTAGGGGACCTTAGAGTTTGAGTATCCAGACCCCCAGTTCCACGTGGAGAAGGGCTCTAACGAGACGTATCAGAACTTTGACATTTTCGCCCACGGAGGAATGATATTCTGGATCACGAGTTCTCTTGTTTTCTTTGTTGTGAGTCTACACTCTCATTAAAGAGATGGATGTTGTCTAACTGAGAAAAACAAATCTCGTAGACCTTATTTTTTCATAATTTTCAAAAACATCAAATTTTCTTATTTTTTAGAGATATTTAAAGAATCCCAATTAAATTAACAGGAGCTTCATGTATGTATAATTACTACTTTGTGATCCAATAAATTAATTGGCAGTCTAATTTGTTATTTTATTTTGTAGGTGTACACTGTAATATTTATTTTACCTTGGACTAGTCTTAAGGAAAAGTGGTCACTACCACGTAAGTATTTCTTATGAGTAGCAGTTTTGCCACAAATTTTGAAATTTGATAAAATTCACTAAATAACGCTAGGTATCTGAAAATATAGTGTGGTACAGCTAGCAAAAGTAAATACAAGAAAATTTGCTACAGTTAAGGATTGTACACCTTGCTTCAATCACTTTGTTGATAAAGAAAAAATTGATACTGGTCACATGTGGTACGGTGTTTCAGAGCAATAAAAAAAATTCAAAAGAAATTACAATACACATATACAGTCAAACCTTATTATCTCAAACTCAATGGGACTGAGAAAAAACTTCAAGATATCCGAGGGTTTGAGATATTGAGGGTAAAATACGTAAAAAATATGTGGTTAGGATTTCCTAATCACTTCCACATATCCATGGTATTCGAAATATCAGTGTTCGAGATACCAAAGTTCAACGGTATATGTATATTCTAACTGGTCCTGTTTGATTTTTCCAGCCAAGAAATCTTTTTACCGCTATGCTGCCTTTCTTGCCGTCCTTAATCTAAGTCAGGCAGTGGGTAGTGGACTGTTATATGGAGAAATCCAAGAAGGAATGTGGTACGTGAAGCGATGTCTATGAGTCAGTAATGTAGAGGAGTTAAGTAACAGTTGTGTGTGAGTACCTGTGAGAATGTGGTAAGTGAAGGAATGTCTGGGACTGAGAAATCATTCAAGCATTGTGGTAGGTTAAAGTTATTGGCAGCTGACAGGGAATGTAAGAAATAAGTATCCCAGAAAGTGATAGATTAAATGCTGTCTGGGGGAGTTTGAGTTATCGTGCAGGCAGTTTTCTAGGTTAAAGGCCCTCCGGGGGAAAGGGAGAGAGAGAGAGAATGACTATGGTGGGTTAAGCCTCTCTGGGAAAGAGTGCTATAAACAGAAAATGTTGTATATGTAGGTTTAATGGAATTTTGGAGTTTGTGCTAGGATACAAGCAATGGTTTTCTGTGAATGTGAGAATGTGGTAGCTAGGTTAAGAGCTGTCTGAGAGAGAGAGAGAGAGAGAGAGAGAGAGAGAGAGAGCTGTAACAGAAAATGAGGTAGATGTAGAGCTGAGCAGTCTGGTAGTTTGGAAAATACATGTATAATTGGGAATGTGATAGATTCAGGACTGAGATTATGAGAAGAGGTACTGCATACCAATTTGTAATATATAAATATTTCTATGAGAAACTGGTTTGATGCATGTCAAAAAAATCTTGGAGGTTGACATTTAAAAAAAGAGTCGCATTATATATCATACATATTTTAATCTCTCAAATCATCAGTTTGGTAAGCTTTTCTGATTACCATAGCATCAAAATTTTTACCCCAATTTTATATTTGAAGAAGAGGTAAACCTCCTTAAAAGATTTAGATATTAAATGAATCTATTAATTCTGTATATTAAACTCACTTAATAAACAAATACCATTAAATTTGTTATTAAAAATTGAATTTTATTCCTAATATCAGCAAGGAAATTTTAAGTTTGATTTTTGTCATTATTTCAGTGTTGTTGATTTGACATCCTATCTTTACTTCACTTGTTTTGTGCCTCTTGTTTACCTGGTATTTCTGAGGAAATTCTTTATGTAAGTATTTTTTAAAAAAAAATTGCAGTATAATTCAATCTCTGTATATTAAAACTTTGAATCAGAAATCCATTGACTGGTAGTACTTTTAGTGGTATTCACATGATAAATGTAAATTAAATAATTAGATAAAGTGGAAACATTTTATTTCCATTGTTAACCTCTTTATATCGATATTATGTTGTTGTATATACAGTATACACATAAAACATGCTAAATGCATGCACATCAGCAGATAAACCATAAAGAAATGAATGTAAATTGAGAATATTGTTTCAAATTAATGAGTTGGAGTCATTTTTCTTTACCATTGTAAAATGTCCTGACATGTTTTAGGCACACCCAGCCCCGTATTCTGTTCTCCTATAAGAACCAGGTCGATGAGATCCCAGAGGACGATACAGTCAGCATGCCATACCAGACAAACGTTCAGAAGACCGACGACATGGACAGTGTCAGTGCCAGTTTTGACAGTACACATTTTGATCACCGCTCGGGATCGTACTACACGCGGCCGTCACTGAATCCTCACGGCTCCATTAATATCACGGAACAGGACATGGGTCAACCCGAGGACTATTACCAAGCGTCGGCTTAGGGCCTGTTATTATGTTGTGTTTGCTTGCTTGCTACAGTGATGTTTATGCTAGTTTTGATGGTGGCTCTAGTCAGATAAAAAGTGATTTATAGATAAAGCTTTATCAGGAAAATGTTCCAGATTATGACTGTACTGAGTAATCTAAAACTAAAGGTGCTTTAAAATCCTTAAGAAGAAAAGATTATTTTTTTTCATTGTAGATGCTGCAATATATATACAGTATCAGAAGGCGTCTTCTGTTTTTAAAAATTACTGGGGCAAAAGTGGTTAATTTTAGACTATTCGAAATATTTTAAGTGAGTTGTGTATATGTATCTGTGTACAATAATATTCTTTGAAGTATATTCTTAATTTCACACAGAAAATACTGAAGAAATAAAATTTGTATGTTATATCTAAGACTGCAGTTGTACATGTAGTTCTTCTTGAATGTTTCATTTGTTGATATTTTCCTGAAAGTGTAATGTTTCAGTTTCAAAACCCAAAATTTCTTGACAAGCAAAAAAAAAAAAAAAAAAAAAAAAAAAGAATAAATTTCCATTCCTTATCCAGAAAATTTCTTGACAAGCAAAAAAAAAAAAAAATGTAAAATCCATTTCCAAAACGTGAAAAACACCTATTTCGTGGTGGTGATGGTGGGATTCACATTTTCTAGGGTGGGTTCAAAAGTCATTTTTTTTATTTGCTTCAGTATATACTTTTAGTAACTCTGCAAATTCAAAGGGGGGGGGGGGGGGGGGGAGGGGGACAAACTTCTGAATCTCATACAAAATTTTAAAAAAACTTCCACTTTCCTTAATACTTGTATTCTAACAAGGACAGAACCTTGCTGTTAGAACATGCACCTGAAATGTAAAAAAAAAAAAAAAGAAAAAAAAATGGATGGAATTACTGAAAAAAAAGTTATTTCAGAATATGGTATATCCTTATTGAAACAAAAAAAAAGATAATTTGAAGCCTGTAATTGATAATTATTTGTTGGTAGGGTAAAGTCTAAGGAAATACTCATTGAAAGATCTCAGTTTGAAATGTCAGATGATGATTTGATATAAACATGTAGTCCTTATGAATATCTCATTTTGAAATGTCAGATGATGATTTGATGACATTAAGTCCTTTTGAGATATCTCAGTCACCTATATAGGGTCATGTATCACAGTATTTGACTTGGACGTTTTATTTTTAATATGTTAATACTATCTTTTTTCCATCATGTGTCTGAATTCAGATTTGTACGAGTTTTAAATTCCAAGGGCAAGTAACTCTTGGTGATGCTTTAATCAATGTTCTCTTCGATTGTTGTTTTTTGCAGATATTATCATACTGTCTTCTGCAGTGGTAGTTTTTCGTTTTGTTCAGGTTTTATCAAAAAGATTTTTATGTTGGCTAGATTTCGATCTACATTTTGAGTAACATGAAGATGTTTTATTTTTGGTACATTGTATCACCACAAAGATTGAAGAAAAACTTAAGCACTTTATTTATCACAGGAGGAAAACAGATTATATTCCTTGTAATATAATATACATGATATGTGCATTTCCTTTTGTTTGTGTATATTCATGTTATTTGTTATTGCATCACAGTGTAATTTCTTTTTTGTGAAACATTTGTGCAATACAATTATCTAGACACAATATCATGTAATCATTAACCACTACATGTATCTGGACAGTTTGATAATTAAAGGTTGTCTTATTTTCAACAAGAGTATTTCATTTTATTATATATTTGTTATATAATACAGGATTTTTGCATCCCTGATATGAACCACACCCTGTATCAGCACCCTTTATTTCACCTTTTATCGCACATTACACCTTTCCGGGACATCTCTGTATTTTTCATTAAAAGTACCTCGGATATTTTTGGATTTGTTTATGAAGTTAATTTAAAATTTTATTTTATTTCATCCGATATTTAATATTGTTCAAAATAATTATTTTTTAAATTTTTAATTATTTCATTTCTTATCAATGAATGCATTGCCTATGGGGAAAAATGAGAAAGGGAAATTCAACAAAAACAGAACACATTCAATCATAAAAAAAAATCAGTAATTAATGTACAAGTTTATATATGATTTTTAGACACTATTTTCAAATATATAATAAAAACAACAATACATGACAAAATCTGTATCACACCCCATATCAACCCGAGACTGCCCTCGGGCTGATATTGGAGTCTCGGGTTGATATGGGGTACGGCCCTCGGGCTGATATTGGAGTCTCGGGTTGAAATGGGATGTGATACAGATTTTGCCGTGTATTATTCTCTATATTTAAAACAGGATGATATGATATAGAAGATTAAATTTTACTGATAGATGATATATCTTGAATATAGCTATATATGTTTGGCAGTAACGATTTGAAGGATATTAAAATTTTGTAAACCTTTTGTCATTTCTTAATATTTTGGAAAATAAATGATACAGTTGAAATTCTGGTATATCAAACAACGATATCTCGAATACCATGGATATTTCAAAGTGATTTGGAACTCCCAAGTTCTCTTTTTTTTTTATATATTTTAACCTCGGTATATCGAATCCTCAGATATTCTGGCCCATCAAGTTCGAGATGAGGTTTGACTGTATTTCACTAGGAATAGGACAGTCGGCTACGCTCCATACAAACCTCGGACGTGATTGGTGGAGGATTATGCATCAAATCGATACATTTCTCCACTGGAAACTGCCTTGTAACTCATATATTTCGCTCTGCATAAAGTTTTTTAAAAAGTATTTTTTAACTTGTCTAATTCCTCCTTGTATTTTGGTTTTGATTACAATCTTATGTTACGTTAGTAGTCTTTGAAAGAAAAAACGTAGTGTTGGGCGTGCCACAAAGTAACTCAAAATTTAAAGGTAAAACATTTGGAGGAATATAAAGATATCACCCCCCCCCCCCCGTTACCCTGTTAACAGATTAACTCTGGACCCCCATGCACATACTTTTTTATTGCTAACGGGATGGACATGTATGCATTAAATTTTAAAAAGTATATTTTCTTCTTATACCTTTAATTAAATAAATCATTTAAAAAGATTGCAGCTATTATAACTAAGAAAACAAAGCCAATTTACAAATGTGCCCCTCAATGATTTTTGCCAGTACATACTACAGTAACTATATATATACATAGAAAACACCCCCCCCCCAACTGATAATTCTTCCTACGGGCCTGCACAAAATCCTAATAGAAACCTTTCATAATAACAGGATTCAGATCCAGCAATACCATGCAATTATAATCTGGTGCAAATTATAAAATTATATGGACAAGCAAGAAGGTTATGTTTGTTTATATTTGCTTCATGTATAAAGTATATATATAAGTTATGTAGGTTTTCTGTAAATTAACAAAGATTTGTAGCACAGGAGAGATATACTGAAATTTTAGTGCCCCGTCCCCTCCTATTTTAGCCGTTCAATTTATAAGTGTCTACACTGTCCGTTATTATTTATGCCCAATTGGACCCTGATTTGATAATAATAAATGCCATTCTATATATAATTACTTTTATAGCTGAAAAGTGTAAATTCATGATCCGCCAACTCTCTCCTCTTTTAACAGTTTAAATGGCATCGATTCCTCTGCACCGATGGTACATATAACATGAGTAATTCGATGTTATTCAAAAATATAAAACCCGGTGAAAGGTTAACAAAAGGTTCTTTTTTCAATATACACAATCGTTTGTTGTCATCGCCGGCCTTGACGATAGAGCGCAGTGGAACGTGTCACTGGAAAAGTTTGTGTTATTTATAGACTGTGTACATTTATCTTTCGGCAATCCAGGTCAATCGATTGCGCGCTCTATCGAGTGTTGGCTGGCTTCCGTAATCTCTCAGGTTTGATCGATCGCCAGGAGTGTGCTATTCGTTATCGCGATTTATCGGAGGTCAGATGTGCGCAGGCGCGGAAATAGAGAACAAGCGTGTGTTATAGACATGGCAGACACGATAGACGAAAGTCAAATCAAAAGGGAGGAAATTGTTCATCTGCAACAGAATCCACAGGCATCTGAGCGACCAACTCTTTATGGATTCCCCGGAAAAACTAAAAGTACGGTATGGAGGGACTTTGGATTTTACATGGGAGAGGACGGTCATCTCGATAAATCGCATGCTGTTTGCCGCCATTGTCTGACAGCCGTGCGATATTCTGGAAATACTACAAACCTACACACTCATCTCGCCCGTCATGGTCACGGCAGCAATAAGCAGCCACGACCTTTGTCAGAAGTGGGACTTGCATCGTCACCTATAGTGCATATGATGGCTAAATCACTTTCCACTCCTGCAGATGGCGAGAATGTCGTTACCAGTGCACAAAAGGATGTTTTCCAGCCTATGATATCAGATATTTTTGCAAACACCCAGCGGACGTCGATTTCCTTGAACACGATGATTGCAGAGTACCTGATAGAACGCATGGAGATACCTGAAGCTGTTGATAACTCTGCATTTATAAACATGATGTCTGTAGCAGATCCGACATTTGAACGCGAAAATTGTCATCGATTTTGCGATTCTTTTATCTCACAGCACTATGATATTATAAACCACTCTTTATCTGACGTATTAAAAAACTGTGAGGCTGTTGCCATTTCGTATGATAAATGGATGTCGACTTCGCGGGAATATTACGTCACGTACAGCGCACATGTAGTTGGTGGAACTTGGGATCTCGAAAAATATACATTAGCTACAAATCCAGAGTGCGTCAGCGTTATAGATGATTTGAAAAAGATACAGAGCAAGTGGGACCTCCAAGAACCATTGACCGTAGTTACTTCAGGAGATTTTGGTCAGGCTTGTAGTTCGGGCGTTCAGAGAATCCATTGTTTGGGTGAGGCTATCAATAAGGCAGCCCGATCTGGATTAGAGTTGAAGAATGTCAAGGAAGTTATTTTCAACGTTTGTCGTGCTCAAAAAGAGCTGTTGAAAAACTTCAGTCAAGACAAATACAATCCATCAGGTTCATTACAGACCGAGAATCTAGACTGTCAAAACTGGCTGTTTACCTACGACATCCTGACGAAAATTATGGAGCAGAAAGAACTGATTACATTGATGGATAAGTTTAACGACATTGACTGTGCTTCTCTCTGCAAACAACTTGAGGACATATGCACCGTGCTAAAACCTCTCAAGTCAGCTGTTGACCTAATGTGTTCCCAGACACCCATCACAGCTTCTATGATTCTACCTATTATCAAAAAACTTCAGGTGTCACTATCTCCAGAAAAAAGCGATTCCAAGCCTGTCAAACACATAAAAGAAACAGTCTGGAAAACTCTTTATTCAGGTTATTCAGACCCCATTGTTAGAAAATTTCTTCTAGTTGCAAGTTTCCTGGATCCTAGGTACAAAGATCTTCTCTTTGTGGAATCGGAAGAACGGGCACTTGCCCGTGACGTTTTGTCCGTGGTGGCGACGGAACTGTACCGCCGCGGAACGGATGCCCCTGTCCAAGAAGAAACTGTTGTCCGAAGTGAAGAAGATGGAACCTCATACTCCGTTATTCTTGTCGATAACGAAAAAGACTGTGAACCTAAACTAAAGAAATTAAAAAGTGAGGAGGACAGTGATTCGACCACCAACTCAAAATCAGACGATTGGCTAGCCGACGTAGTAGGCAACAAAAAATCACCCAATGACGTCACGAAGGAAGAAAGTGTGATGGCGGAAATTGATCAGTATTCCACAATGGAACAAAGAACCACTTCACCATTTCTGTGGTGGAACAACCGACAATTAATATTTACCACTTTGTCACGTGTGGCTAAATCGTATCTCTGTGTTCCAGCCACTTCCAGTCCGCCAGACCGGATGTATGAGCGCGGCCATCATAAATACGTCTCACAGAGGAGGCTGCTACCAAGTGGATTCGTTGACAAGCTTGTTTTCCTACATGACAATTATTTCAAGTTGAAAAATTGAATAAATATTCCAATTTTCTATTTAGTCCCAGTGTTACTTTATTTGGTAATTTAGATACAACAAAAAGCTGTTACACGCGTACAATGCACATTCACAGACCACAATTGTGGCTGGGACAATATAACTTTTTCTATATCGATACGTATCACGATATTTGAGCCACGATATGATATGTATCACGATATGTTTAATTGGTTTGTAAAATCTACTTTTTGTATTGAAATGAACAAAACATTTCACAAATAAGAATAATTTATTCAAAGAAGTATATCTTTTGTAAAACAAAATTATTTTACACGAGTGGTGATAATTATTATGTATTTCATATTTATATTTAGCATATTTATTTCATAACTTACACCCAAAATGATAAGTAAACAAAGAAAAACATAAGTCAGAATTTTTTGCGATATTTCGATATTTCTTCATACGTATTGATATGCGTATTATCCTCAAACAGAATCGATATATCGTCCCAGCCCTAACCACCGTGACTGCTGATTTATTTTTTAAGCAGCTACTGCATAAAATATCTTAGCTGTTTTTGACATGAAATTTAAGTCCATTGATAAATGCATAATAATTTGTACACATATATTTCTTTATTTTTTGACAGTTAAACAGAGCAGGTGTCCTATATTGACTTAATTCCCTTTTATGCATGAATATTATATGATGACCCCTAGCATATCCAGACACGCGTTCTTCTTTTGAAAATCCCCTCCCCCTCTACGATTGCAATGTTCAAGCTCTTTACCTGCGTTTGACTGGAGAGCAAGACCTTCGGAAAAGGCAAAAACGGTTTGATACTAGAATTATTTTATCTTGTAAGACTTTCTCCTCATTTCTTACATATTCTTGGACCCACTTAAGGCTTCAGAACACGGGTGCTTGTGGACAGGAACCCCCCCCCCCCGGTATGATTTTTAATAAAACAATCAATTCTACGTTATTTTTTGGATTTTTCATATGGGATACATTGTAAATGTGTACTAGAAGATTAATTTGATTAATTTATGAAAGAAGACGAATAAAAATATCCTTGGACCCAGGATGTATATTCGGGGGGGGGGGGGCTGTCCACAAGCACCTGTGCCTCAGAACGTTGTTGTATTCCTCACTATACGTACATGCAAGGATTAGGTTACAATGGTTTAGAGTATTATCGTTTCTTATTTCTTCCTGTTTGCTTGATCTACGGAAGAAAACACTTATCTGTTTTCTAGAACTCAAGGAAAATTTATACAAGTAACGAAGGATTTTTACAATACAAACGTATATTCATAGATTGCTGTACTTTCATTATCCCTGTTGTGAATGTGCTACATGTTTTGGAGCGTATGTATAGTATCTATACATGGTATACTCTGACTGTGCTTCTTGTGTACATGGTTTCAGATGGGAATATAATATTAAAAATGCCGGTCAGTGAATGCAAATCCCGTCAGTCTTGAGCCAGAATCATTAACTGAAAGTACAGGATAAATATTTGCAATTATAGTAGTTCAGGGACTTAGTCGTACGTTCTTTTACAGAAGGAATCAAATTCATAAGCTTAACCAAAAAGGCTACAAAAATGACACTTGGACTGATATTCAAATTTAAGTGAACTTAAAACTGGCATCTACTTGAAGTTAACATATTTATGCAGATATCCTAGCGCAGTTGAAAATTCTTCGGTCCTCTTCGACAATAAAGCAGAAAGAAATGGATTCCCAACCACTGCGCTTTTGTCCCACAACTGACTTGGTAAAATAAATACAAGACGTGCAAACAATCATATGTCCAATTTTAATCGTTTTCCTTTGGAAGATCAAAGTTTGCAGGTTTTGGGAGTGCAATTATTTCAACAACAAAAAGGACACTCAGAATATACTTTATGTACATTGTACTGTATATATCATTAAAGGAACTATAACTTTTTTGAAGAGATCTATATCTTTGGGTTCATCAGAAATTTCATTTTTTTTTTGGTTGTTTTTGTTTTGTTTGTTTGTTTGTTTGTTTTTTTTTTTTTTTGTTTTTTTGTTTTTTATTTTTTGTTTGTTTGTTTGTTTGTTTGTTTTTTGTTTTTTGTTTTTTTTTGTTTTTTGAAAAGATATATATAAATGTTTCAAAATGGACCCAAGGGGAGAACTGGAAAAAGAACCGACGAATATATATACATTATCTAGTTCTTTTCAAAAACCAGTTCTTGTTGCTACTATACAAACCGGTAGTGACGTTCCTAGGAGATTGGCTTGTTTTGGTCCCTCAGAGGTGTGGATAAGTGGTATAGATGACGTCATCGAAGGTTGGAATATTGAGGGAGAATTCTCAGTTACAGATATTTTTCAAACCGGATCTGGTCGTCGTCCGACGGACCTTACTGTTAATCTTAAAGGTAGACTTGTGTACTCTGATCACTATCAAAGAAAAATTTTTAAAAGGAAAAACGGACATGTTAAAGAAGTGATATGTTTTAGGAAATGGCGACCTTCGGGAATATGTTACACATCAAAAGGCGAATTGTTGATTGGCATGTCAAACAAAAGCTACACAGAGAAACTGATCAGGCGATATTCCGGAAGGAAAAATCTTCAGGAAATCCATTTCGACAATAACGGGAATCCCCTCTTCAAGCCAGGAGATCTGGCCATTTTCGTGGAAGAAAATAAAAACACTGACATCTGTGTTTCCGACTGTCAGGCCAAATGTGTGTTAGTTTTCGATAAATCCGGAAATGTTCGATTCAAATACTCGGGAAGTCACGTGATGGCCGAATTCAATCCAGGGTGTCTTGCGACTGATTCTTTATGTAACATTTTTATGGTGGACACTGGGAACGATTTGATCCACATACTGGACAAGTGTGGTCAGTTACTGGGATTCATTGATGACGCATGCGGAATGACAGGAAGCACGGGCATCGCAGTGGACAGTGAAAATCGAGTGTGGGTGACTGAATGCCACACCTCCAAAATCAAAGTCATCAAGTATACGTAGAATTTGGTGATCTTATTACCAGCTTTCAAATAAGATTTTTTTTTCGGGGAATATGGCTTCATTACCTTCATTGACAGAGGACCAATACAATGTGATCTCCTTGGTTATTTATACATGTATAATATATATGTATATCTTATTCAGAGAAACGTGCATACATTCATATTTCAAAAACTGGCATGATGTATAATACTTGAGTTTATGCTAATATACTGTAATGTCTACTCTTCTTACTTAATCGTTACTTTTGAATAATTGCGTTCCCTGAAATTCATGTTTTTTGTCCTGTACACGAATCTTTTTTGTCTGTACACGATTCGTTTTTTGCCTTGTACACGATTCGTCTTTTGCCCTGTGCACGATTCGGTTTTTTTTTTTGCCCTGTACACGATTCGTTTTTGCCCTGTACACGATTCGTTTTTTTTTTTTTTGTTTTTTTTTTGCCCTGTGCACGATTCGTTTTTTTTTTATTATTATTTTGCCCTGTGCACGACTCGTTTTTTTTTTTTTTTTTTTTTTTCCCTGTGCACGATTCGTTTTTTTTTTTTTTTTTGGCCCTGTACGCGAGTCGTTTTGTTCACTGGATTTATATGAGATTGATGATTGTCCTTTATCTTCACCTTTTACTTTATTGTACATATGTAGTTACTCTTGATGTGTTTGAAATAAAGGCTTAATCCCCTTGTGTATAGAAAAAATTACTTATCGGTCATTTAAAACTTGACTTCTTTGCTATGTAAATTATTAAAAACAAAACTTGCAGTGTTCGCTTGATACACCTTTTTGATACCATGTACCAGTACCACATACGGTATGCCATGCAAGTAGCGGAAATTCTGACCAATCAGTTGGTCAGCGGCTGTCATCTGTAACTATTGTGACTGAACTGATTTTGTGATCTGCACACATTTCAGAAGCAGAATTATGTTGTTTTTTTTTCAGTTTCAGAGGGAGGGGGGTTCCACGTACATCAACTCTTACAAATGTTAGACTCGGAATTTTTTTGCCAATTAAGAACATACGCAACGTACCGTACCTACTGATAATTTTTCAAGATATTCTTAATTTAAATTATTGTGCCATCAGATATTCGTAGACAAAAAATCAGCATGCATTACCAGAGGGTTCTGAAAAGAAATGATAAAAAATCTTGCATAATTCAAAGAAAAATACGCAAAAATTACTGAACATATATTCTAGATGTTTTGTTTATCCAAACTTGTTTAAGAAGAAGTGTACAACAGAATATATAGACATTAAAATGTAGCACACAGTTCCTTTAAGTATTGGAACTCTTCAACTCCAAGGAAAAAGACAATAAAGTTCAAACTATGTTGCGTATGCCCTTAAGCAAAAATAAATAAAATAAATAAATAAAAATTAAAAATAAAACGAATGAATAAAACTTTCCCAAACCTGACACACACACACACACACACCCTCCCACCCTCACACACACCCCCTCACACACACACCCCCACACACACACACACCCACACCTACACACCCTCACCCACACACACACACACACACACACACCCTCACACACACACACACACACACACACACACCCCCTCACACACACACCCTCACATGCATCACCGACCTTTCGAGGACTATGACACTCCACCTTCCTCCGAGGACCATACTTTCTAATTGAGATATTTTTTCAAGATTTGGTATATTTATAAGGTTTGGCACTAGTTACACGATGGGGGGTTGCATTATGTTGTAATTTGAAAATTAAAGCATGATTTTTTCACTATGCTTTAGAGGACGTTGTGTTAACGTAAGAGGACGTTGTGTTAACGTGAGAGGACGGTGTGTTAACCTTGCGAGGACGGTGTGTTAGCCGTGAGAGGACGGTGTGTTAACCTTGCGAGGACGGTGTGTTAGCCGTGAGAGGACGGTGTGTTAACCTTGCGAGGACGGTGTGTTAACCGCGCGAGGACGGTGTGTTAACCGTGAGAGGACGGTGTGTTAACCTTGCGAGGACGCTGTGTTAAGCTTGAGAGGACGATGTGTTATCTGATAGAGGACGTTTTGCTTATCCCCCACAAAAGAGATGTAAACAAAGTTAGGAAACACATTTCTTGTTTTCAATCATTCTTACGGTGCGCTATAAGAACGTGCGCCATGTGTGTTGACAATAAGGGTCATCATTCGTCATACACAGGCGGGGGGGGGGGGATAGCGTCGGACATAAATCTTAATTTACATAGTTTTAATCAAGACCTTCTTCGACCCTTCAAACACATAAAATATTCATGTAGACCTCAACATTGTTCCAACCAGCAAAAGTACCGACTTAGTACGGTTGACCCCCCCCCCTCAAGTATTTCCCGGGAAAATGGTTCTAGAGGGGGAGTCCCCCGGAAAAACTGGATCTAGAGAAGGATTTCTCCTAAAGAAAACCAATATTTACGAGAGATCATACACAGCTTAAAAGCTATAAAGTGTGACTACCCCTCAAGTCAATTTTCTCTCCACCTAAAATTTAGTTTTTCGTCTTTTGTTTTATATTTTTCATAATTTTTGCCGATTAAGGAAAATAATAAAAGAACTTCAACACCCTTGATAGTACTACTTTAATAATAAGTGAACTTACAAAGGCTGATGATTTTAATGGCATTTGGCCCAACAAAAAGCATTATAGAACAGATATAAAGAGCTAGGTTTCCATAGTGTTCTTTTTCTTCCTTTATTTACATTCATGAAAATAGATATTATTAGATATTGTAATTCATTACATGCATTTCATAATACAAAAGCAAATCTTTGAAAAGAAAATATAAATCTTTTATGGACATGCACTGCCATGTTTATCCTCGCAACAAAAGTCCAAACACAACCCCCTATGGCAGTACATTTTGTCATTACAAAAAGTACTGTATAACAATAACATAGGTTTCCATACTTAAATGTATTTATAATGTAGAATTGTCATATAATTTAATGCGTTATATTTCCTCATTTTCTATATAGATTACAAACCTTTCTACGCATAATTACGAGAAATCATGTAAAACTGAAACCATATCGGATTTATTAATTACTAGTTATCAAAAGTGACATGGATTGATTTTTTTTTACTCAAACTACACGTATACTTTGGCCCCGTGTTTTTTAAGAATTTTTGTTCCATCTTTTAACGTAGGATGAACTTTCCCTCAAAATGAATAAATTATAGATAAATAAATTTAAAAAAAAACACCAAGGAAAGAAATAAATAAAATTTAACTCCCACCCCACCCCAAAAAAAGTCTTTCTTAATATTACATTATAGAAATTGATAATGTGAAATATTGATGATAAGAAGCGATGCGTAATAAACTTTTAACAGGCGTCGGAACGGGAGGAAGGGCTAGAGGGGGCAGCCTCCCAAACTTATTTTTTCAAAGATAAACATAATATAGGCTTTGAAAATTGGGGCATAGTCCCCAAACGTTTTTTTGGGGGGTGGGGGTTGGTTTAGCCCCCTTTCAAATTAGCCCCCCTCTTCAATTTTTCAGTAAATATACTATTATTCTAATCTTAGTTTTTTTTTTTCAAAAGAACATTCTTCATTGAAAAAAAGAACAAGGTTTCAGTAAATATATTCTGAAATTAATATATGTATATATAATTTAGTAGACAAATGATATAGAAAACTGTAAATCACAGGACAGAACTATACATGTACATGAATGTGTTGGCAATGTGGGCGTCAATATTCAAAACTACGTTCATTCATGTAGGTGCTACATGTACATATAAGAGATATTTCCATGCAGGTGCTAGATGCTAATTCCATGCAGGTGCTATGTGCTATTCTGAGTGCATATGCTACATTAACTTTTAAAAAATTCCAAAGATTGACAAATAAACCATGTGAATAAGTGCAAGCAAGGATGCATATTTATAAAATATGCCAAAGAAGGTGAAAAAAATAGATACATACTTTTGGAAGAAAGCCCTACATGTAGGTGTGAAATCATGTACCTCATAAAATTAGACAGAACGCCTCCTTCAAGGAAACTGAAATTTTAGCTTAAACTCAAAAAAATCATGTGACTGTATATTGAGTGCATATATGAAGAAAGAATGAGGAAAAATGACAAATGGTAAACAGAAATTAAGAATGCATTTTATCAAAACCTTGTTTAAGTTTTTTTTTTCAAAACTCCTCTAGATTATGCTATAATCAAGCAAAGATTTTTTTTAATGTGTACAGTCAAAACTCTTTAATAGTATCAAGCAAAAATGTTTCTGGCAGATTGAATTCTAAGAGAAATGTTATCCACCGGTCGTCAGATACATGTACAGTATTCCTGGCTCAAAACTAAAACAAACAGAATCTGATGAAAGAGGAGGGAGGAAGAGTAAAGAAGTAGCCAAAGGCGGATCCAGCACATACTGGCGCGCGTCGGGCATCAACCCCCCCCCCCCCAACTTTGAGGGTTTTTTTTTTCTTTTTGGCTTTCGTAAATTGTGTTTGCTTAACTTGTATACACTTTTAATTTATCCACATGTAACGACCAGGCACATAGTTTCAGGACTAATGATGAGCTAGTATCCCTAACCCAGGAAATACGATTTTAGAGTTTGGACAATTTTTTTTCTTTTCTTTATTTTGTCAAAGAAAAACTATCCGTGAACTGCTCCTCCTCCTTCCTTTCTAAAATTTTGGATCCGCCGCTGTTCACTTCTATCCTAAATTCATCTAAAATTTTGAGTAAATACGTAACAGCGCTGTCATGTAATTTGAATGATTCATACAGCTTTCCATCATAGCTAAAATTAAACAGTTCTGTATTGTTAATATTTTGTAGTTATTGTACAGTTTCTGCTCATTTACAAAATGAAACGACCACGAAGTGTTTGTATCGCAGTTATTGTATGTTACTTCAAAGGAAAACTCACTGAGTAATGTCAAAAGTCTATTATAATTATCATACATTATTGCTCATGTTGTGCAATTAAATTAAAAAATAACATCTCAAACGTTTTATTTTGTTATA